TCATGTGGTCGCGCGGAGGCATCCGCAATTACACGGGAATGTTTTCCTAGAGATGTCAGCCTACAAAGGACACAATCTCTCTTCCTCAAATTCCGCCCCAAAATGTCCTTTCCCAACAGCTCTCCTGCCGCTAATACTTTTTTAGTAGATTCTCTCATCAGTGCGTGCAGGAGTGACAGTTTCTACTCCAACAGCGCCAGCATGTATATGCCACCTAGCACAGACATTGGGACGTATGGGATGCAAACCTGTGGACTCCTTCCGTCTCTGGCTAAAAGAGAAGTTAATCACCAAAATATGGGTATGAATGTACATCCTTATATACCTCAAGTAGACACTTGGACAGACCCGAACAGATCTTGTCGAATAGAGCAACCTGTTACACAGCAGGTCCCCACTTGTTCCTTCACTACAAATATTAAAGAAGAAAGCAATTGCTGCATGTATTCCGATAAGAGATCCAAACTCATTTCTGCAGACGTCCCTTCCTACCAGAGGCTGGTGTCTGAACCATGCCCCATTGAGAACCCCGAGGTTCCCGTCCCAGGATATTTTAGACTGAGCCAGACCTACGCCACTGGGAAAACCCAAGAGTACAATAATAGCCCTGAAACGAGTTCAACTGTAATGTTACAGTTAAACCCTCGCGGCAGCTCCAAACCGCAGATATCTGCTCAACTTCAGCTGGAAAAGAAAATGAATGAAAACCCGAGCAACCAAGACAGCACCGCTAAAGTCTCTCAAGTGGAAAGTCCCGAGCCCAAGTCCACGTTGCAAGACGAGCGGAGCTGCCTGCCCGAAGGCTCCGTGTCCAGCCCAGAAGTCCAGGAGAAGGAGAGTAAAGGTCTGTATTACCGAGTTTAAGCCGTGCCGTGGTGTAACTCCAACACGCCAGCACCATAAAGCACGCTCGAATATACTAACGGGCATCACAGCCATCACATTTAATGCTAAGGAGTATCGGGCTGCAGGTGCTGTGTCTCTGAAGATTTTGGCAGGCAAAAATGCCACACAAAAGGGTCCAAAGATTTTCTGTAGAGATCTGCCTCTCTCGTGCATGCAGACCGCCTCTGTGATGCGGTGAATGTAGCCGTGTGCTCCTTAATGCGCTGCAGCAGCCAAAAGCAGCCCCATACCTCTAAAAAAGCAGGTCTGGAGGTTGTAAAATACGACCAGTTCAACTTTTCTCTCGTAATATTTCGCTGATTTTTTTTTTAATTGTTGGTTTGTTTTTTTTTTTTCACTGAGCCTTACTGCGGTTTGATTGCATTTAAAGTTAATTACTATCCTATTAAAGTAGGTGAGGAATAGGTACTACCAGGCTGGGTAAAGTTGGAAACAAATGCACAATGAAAGCAGCAGCCCGCTATCTGCCTGGTCCAAAGGTGGAATATTTCAATGTGGTGCTTTAGATAACCTTCGGTTGGTCTCCAAAAGGGCGACAGTATTTTGAAATGCGTTTGAAAGCTAAAGGTGGTGGTAATCTGATTTTATTTTCCCTTTAAAAGTGCACTAAAGCCTTCCTTTCGAACGGCGCGTGTCGAAGAATCCCAAAACGGGAAATTTTCTCCTGTCAAAATGTACTTTGCAACCTCTAGGTCGATTTTTACCCTAGTGTGCATGGAGATTCTTTTTATCTGAATTATATTTATCAGCCCAGGTCTAGGTTGAGGGGGGGCAGATTTCTTTCTGGTGGGGAAAGAAAAATCTAAAAGGAAAATGGAAAAAAAAAAAAAAAATCCGAGGCAGAGGGTGTTAATTTCTTGTCTATCTTTTTGGCTGGGAAAACGTCTATGTCTGCTCCTATGTGTGCTGGTGTAATTCAGCTGATGGCTGGGGGGAAGCTGCTTCAAAATACAGTGCGAGGGTATTTTGTAATTGGGATCTTTCCGTAGCAAGTGTCGTGGGAGCCCGAGGCGGCCATGGCGAGGCTAGACCCGTGAAAATGCGGCCACGGGGCTGATGGCAGGTTAAATATTGTTGAAATGCTAAGCGCCAGCTGAAAACTTGAGAGCCCATTTCTGGAAGGGGCAGGAGAGTGGGGCGGCCACAAGGCAGGGTGCCGTGTGGTGGGGACGGGCGAGCCCAGCCTGGCAGCAGGTCCCCTCTCTGTGCCCACACCTCACCCGGGCTGTGCTTAATGCCCACATCCACCATATCTGCCAGACACTGCAGAGGAGGGGTCATGGCCAAGGGTACACTCTAACAGCCTGAGGTATTTTTGATTTTTTCTTCTTCTTCTTCTTTGATTTTGATAGAGGAAATCAAGTCTGATACTCCAACAAGCAATTGGCTAACTGCAAAGAGTGGCAGAAAGAAGAGGTGTCCTTATACTAAACACCAAACACTGGAATTAGAGAAAGAGTTCTTATTCAATATGTATCTCACTCGAGAGCGCCGTCTAGAGATCAGTAAGAGCGTAAACCTCACTGACAGGCAGGTCAAGATTTGGTTTCAAAACCGCAGAATGAAGCTCAAGAAGATGAGCAGGGAGAACCGAATCCGGGAACTGACCGCTAATCTGACCTTCTCTTAAACCCTAACCCCGGGGGGGCACCAGTGAGGAATGGGCACAGCACCGCCACTTGCTAAAGGCAGGAGAGACTCTGGCAGAACCCGGCATTTTCCAGTTTTGTTTTGTTTTGTTTTGTTTTTCTGATAGAATGTGACTCTTCGTCCTTCTTTTAGCGCTGCAAGTGAATATGTATTACTATGATGAGTATATATAAAACCTAGCACGTGTAATTTATTTTTGTTCTCATCGTAATGCAGGGTAACTATTATTGAATATTATCATTTGGTCTTAACTTATTGGAACTGTCGAACATCCAAGCAATGTGACTTTTTCATGTTTTTACTAACAAAATGGTATTTATGTGGGGCTGTTACACGGGCCATAACGTTTTGAGTACATTCAATACTTTAAGAAAAAAAGGTGGGGAAAAACTTTGGGGGTGGGGGGAAAGAGAAGCACATTATAATGTAACTATCCTCGCAAATGAACTTAGAGATTGTCCTTCGTAAAATGGAATATTTCCTTCTCCATTGTAGACATTTCCTTGTGGTGCATATGTGGAATAGTAGTCGTTCAGCAGCAATATGTCCTTCTTGTGCATGTTCTGTTCGCATGTATAATGCAATAAACTCTGTAAACTACTGCGGTTCCTTTGGTTTTCTACAAATGTTTAAAGTACTGATGCAGGTTGGTCTCCTGACCTTTCTCTATCAGCAGCTCTTTGGACTGATGTACCTTCTTTGCCATGTTCTGGTCTTTGTGTGTGTCTGCCTGGTTTTCTTTCTTTCTTTTTCACCCCTTTCTTTTTTTTCCCCTCCTTCCTTTTTTTAGGGGTGGGGTGGAGACTGGGGCGGGAAATGATGTAAACCTAATTCGTTTATAATTGTGCCTGTAAACAAACGATTAATTGATAAAATGTTGTGTGATGTTCGCAGTCTGACAAACTGAATGCAAAAAAAAAAAAAAAAAAAAAGAGAGAGAGAGAAAGGAAAAAAAAAAAAAAAGAAAAACGTTGTAAAATATTATGACCTAAACTGGACATCCTCATCCAATCAACTCATAAATGGTAAGTGATAAAAAATCTTTCTAATACAAGCTGTCAGCAATATGTGTGTCATTTTACTTGACGTTCGTATGTTGATTTAAAAAATATCAGTCACTGCGTGCTTACAATGTGTAGACTTTGATTTCGTGTCTTTACTCGCTTAAAAAAAGCCATCATACCAAATGCAAAGCTGGGTATAAGTAAATGTTAAGAAGTTCGGCTCTTGGTCAGCTCAAGAGCTTGCAGAAGATGGTGGATGGGGAAATACTCCCTCAAACATCTGGCGAGATTAGCTTTTTTGAGCAGAAAGGCTCCCAAGCGTGCTTACAAAAGTACACCAGCCTCTTCAGACCTACTTTTGTCACCCTGCACCGTTTCTGTTTGCTCAGAGATCGTTTTATTTCGCGCAATTCCGTTTTAGTAGCACACATCCAGATAATGAAGTTCACGACTCTTAACCCTTTCTGTACGTAGATGAAAAATGTTATTAGCAGGGCTCTGCACTGGAAGCTGAGGAAGGGCGTGTGTGTGAGAGAGAGCGGGTGAGTGCCTGTGTGAGCAGAAATACTAAGCAGAACTGCAAATGGCTTGCAAATGAACATGACTCCAAATTGAAGTGCAAATACTTGGGCATACTTTCACCTTCAAACAGTACTGGAAAAATAGCGTGGCTACTGTTTGCGCTGGGAAACCAGCTTGCTCACAATCAACGCCCATTCCTCCCCGAAGCAGTTTCTAAATCAAGAAATGAAACTCAAGATAGTGCCAATGTTGCCTGACTTGGTGACACTGATACTGCTCATATTGCAGCTGGTGGCGTTGTATTTTGCTCTCTTGTCGCTGATATTTAATTTAAGCCAGTACTTTCTCATGTGCACGTTTACTTGTAGGGCAGAGTTATATTTTCCTCAAACCAAAGCATCCTCATTTTGAAGCTGCGGGAGCCGCAAGCACGTAGGTATTTTGTACTTGCTCTCGTTTCGAAAACAAACAACAAAACGGTGCTCAAAAAAACCCCCTCTTTAAATATTGCATACATTTGAACCGTCTTTTCTTTTCCTTTAAAGATACTCGCTACATCACCAAAGAAGTTTCAGCAGTGGGAAGTAATTAGCTGGCTCCATACCAAGTGTTTAACGTATATAAAAAGGGAGGCTCGCTCTAATCTGCCTGCTTTATCAATTTATATCTGTGTGAAGCGAGGGGCAGTTCTTCGCCATACCACAAACCCTGCTTCTAGAGAAAAATATAAAAGTATGAAAACGCAAAGGAAAATACTAAAGGAAAATGAAAAAAAAAAAAAAAAAAAAGAAACCACTTCTAAAAAAAAAGGGAAAGAAAAAAAAAAGATAAGAAAAAAGGAAGAAAACAACCTAAGAGAGTAATAAATCATTAAATAAACAGGAATTTCAGTCCCTTCCTCATCCCGGCCCGCGAGTAGGAAGTGTTTTCTCAGCGCTGTTGTTTGTGCCCTCGGCGGGCCGTGCTGCGGGCTCTCCACTAACTCTGTGCGTTTCCTCCAGATCCCGACACAGCCACGGTCCCTCGCTCGGGAGAGCAGGCATGGGCAGAAGACCATGGGTAATCTAGTTTTCAATACTAACCGGGCACCGTTTCGCTCGGGGAAGGATAACGGGGCCGGGGAGGGAGAGGAGGGGAGGAGAGGGAAAGAAAAGAAAGCAAAGCGGGCAAAAATCTCGCGTAGGCATTGAACGTGGCCAGCGCGGCCCGGCCCGGCTCCCCCTGAACTGGGGGCGGAGGAGGCAGCTCTGCCGGCGGGCGGGGGGC